CGCAATCTGCACTTTTTCCCATAGACGATGCATATTGTGATTGCATATGCAAGTCTTCACAAGTCAGCAATGACTTTAGAGAATTGCCTAAATTTTGCCAAATATAAAGCTAATGCATAAAAAATAAAGTAAAAATTTTGAAGATTTCCTTCTTTTTATCTATAATTTATTGTAAAATAAGGTTATAGAATCTAATTTTTATGCTGTATATTATCCTAAATTTTATCAATCTTAAGTTTTATGATTTAAATAAATACTTATGTAGAAGAACATTTTTCCACGAAACGTACATATATGAAATTTAATTTTAACTAAATATTGATTAGAATAAATTTTTCAAAAACATAATTCACAGCATAAATCTAATTTTCATTATCAACTCCTGCAATTATAAGGAAATGTAGAAGCATATAATAGTTCGATTTATAATTACAGTACATAGTCAAGCGATCAATGATTCCCTAGCTGACAATGTATTAAATCACAAGAACGGTATTCTTCCATGTATGATTATCTAAAATAAAAACTTTACTACAAATGCTTCGTATTTTTCTACAAAATAAGCCACCAATAGTTATTCCAAGAAAGACGTGTCGCATATTACTCACAGAAGAGTTGTTCAGGAAAAAGTAGTGTTAAATTTATTAATTAATTATCATTAAAGAACTATGTACGATATTTAAAAAAATGCGATATATATTCAATATAATATCTGTAGGTTGACTTATAATATTATAAGTCACTTAACTTTATTTTTTTATGTAAGTACAGTAAAATTTTGAATAAAATTTTACGAAATATTACTAACATTGCTAGCGCAAATAATAGTAGGAATATTACTAGAATAAAAAAAACATAGAGTAGAGGAACAATAATGGAAATAAACAATTAGAAAAATCTTACTAGCCCAAGTAGAAATTTAAATTAAACATGCTCAAAAGCAATATTGTAAATTTAAATTATTAATTATAAGTATATTTTCCATTCTAATACACTGACATAAAAAATAAATAAGGCGTAAGTAGAATTAAACATTCTGTATCAAAGCTTGATAAATTTGAGAACAATATTCAGCCGTTATTTAACTCTTAAACTCAAGGAAAAGTTTTTTTTTCTTTCTTTCGAATCATAAGCGTATGAAACTAATTCTTTAAAGATATTCAACTAGTCATTTCTCCTGATGCAAGAACTTAACATTGGAAAATAATACATTTTGTATTATGTTCTTTCCTTTCCTTGTGATTCCAACGTCAATTCCTTACTACGGTTCATTTTCTCCTAGCTGTGTTTTCTTCATTTTCTACTCCATCGAAGTTCCATTATTTGAAAATCTTATTTGTCGAAGGCTTTCAACTAGAAAGAAGAAATGCATTCTGGAGAAATTTCAGCTTTATTCATTTTAAATGCCACTCAAAATGGTGAATTTCCCTCTAAAAAGACACAGTATTCTCCATTTTGCTTCCGATACGTTATTATTTTTAGTGATATATCATTCTTTATAAAATATGATGTATAATGAGAAAAATGTACGTTTTTTTCTTTAATTTTTTTATTTTTTGCTCATCTTTATTTAGATTAAGTGCCACTCATACTGGTTATTTAACTCAAGAAGAAATAGTATTATATATTTTGCTTCTGATACGTTATTTTTTTTAAGGATATGTATTTAAAAAAAAAAAAAAAGATGTATAATGAGAAAAATGTACGTCTTTTTTAAATGAAATATTTAAGAACAGCTTTATTTATTTTATACGTCTTTAAAAATGGTGGTTTTTCCTAAAAAAGTGCAAAGAATTCTCAATTTTTTTTCTAATACAAAATTACTTTTCGAGTAATGTGTTATTTTTAAAAAAAAAAATTATGTATAAAAAGGAAGGCGTGTTTTTTTCTTCAAATTTTATGCACAGGCCCATTTATTTTAAATGCCTTTAGAAACTGTTATTCCCCCTTCTAAAAACATAGTATTCTCCATTTTGTTCCATATACATTATTATTTTCAGCGATTTATCATTCTTTATAAAATATGATGCATATCATGGAAAATGTAAGTTTTTTAAAAATGCTTTTAGCACTGCCTCATATAGGTTATTTTCCACAAAAATATATAATATTCTACATTGTGAATTTGATACGTTATTGTTTTTAAGGATACGTCTTTTTTTGGAAAAAATATGTATAATGAGAAAAATTTATCTTTTTTTGTAACGGATTCTTCCAGAACGGCTTTATTTGTTTTATACGTCTTTCAGAATGGGGATTTTACTGAAAACTACAAAGAATTTTCAATTTTACTTTTTATTAATAGATTCATTTTTCTTATTAAAAATAACGTATAAAGTGGAAAACATATTTTTTTTAAAAATCGTGTATACCGCCCGAATTATTTTAAAGGCCACTCTTAATCGTGGCTTCCCCCTAAAAAGAATCCTCTATTATTTTGTTTTCAATTTGTAATTATTTTAGTGAATTATTATTTTTCGTGAAGTATAATGTATAATTAGAAAAATATACGCTTTTTTTTTAAAAGATTTTATTAAGATTTTTATACTGTAAATGTCATTCTAGGTTATGTTCCTCTAAAAACATGTGGTGCTCTTTATTTTTTTCCTGTTACGTAATTATTTAAAAAAACTAACGATGTTTTTTCTTAAAAATCGATTAATAATGAAGAAAACGAACTTTTTTTTAAACGAAATATCTTACTGCAGTTTTATTGATATTATATGCCAATCAAAATGGTGATTTCTCCCAAAACAACAGAGAGTATTCAGTTTTGTTTCTAATACACAGATACTTTTTAACAATAAGTCCGTTTCAAAAATAGATGTAAAAGGTGGGAAATAATTTTATATGCAGCTCCATTTATCCTAAACGCCCCCTAAAAAGTGTGATTCCTTGTATGGCATTTATGGATTTTTATAGTAATTAAATAATTTATGTCGAACGTAGAACAGGATTTGCTACACATTAAAACCGTTTACTATTCTAAGCGTGGGATTGAGTTTTAAACTTTTCATCTTGAATAAAAATTTTATTATGACCATTCACCATGCTTTTAATTTTAAATAATATATAATTTAAGACTTTAATTTTAAATAATAAATAAGCTTTTTAATAATAAATAAGCTTTTAATTTTAAATAATAAATAGTTTTAGTAACTATAAAATAATGATGACTCTGCAGATTTTAATCAGATAGCATTTTATGTGGTTTATCACTTAACTGAGCCTAGACACCCCTTTAGTAATTGTAGCTAAAACCGCTTGAATTGTAGGGCAGGTTAGTGAGTAATTGGCTTAATAAATAGATTTTTTACATGATAATAAATATCAAGACATAAATTTTCAGCTCAGGGATAGAGCTTCCACCTCCCAGTGAGCTGATCCAGGTTTGAATCCCAGTGGTGGCTGGTTGAGACGAATTCAGCTCCCAGCTCTCACAGAAAACAGTGCTGACGCAAAATATCCTCAGTGGTATACGGATCATGGTTTAGAATCAATCCCTTTGCTGTCGATCTAACTGTGTTAGGTTTTCGCGGTTTTCCTCTACATGTAACGCAAATGCGTGTTAGTTACATCAAAAAGTCTTCCACCAAGGCTAATTTCTCCCAATACTTGGTTTAAGAGTTCGGGTAGAGCTCAAAATTGCAAGACTATAAAGTTGAATACTAATAGTCGTAAGCTCAGATTTAGGTAGGCTGTTCAATGCCGGTTATAAAATAAAGTCAAATGTAAACACAATCGAATTTTCAGACAAGGATGAATTAAGTCACGAATTCCTTCCTATCAAAACAAAGAATGAACTATTATTGTAAACACATGAAACACTGAAAAACATAAAAATAAAGGGCATGTCATTCTAAAACATTTCTTTGTTATGGGATCGCATTGCTTTTTTGCTGAAGGGAACCTAAACGAAATGCGACGTGAACAGTGTTTCGAACAAACACATAGACACCCTTTCTTAGGGGTTTTCTTGCTTCTTCAAGAGACACGTGGTTCGAATGTATGGTTTGATTCTATCCTTAAAGAATACAAAGGGGAATCAATTGCAGGAGTTTCCTTTTTTATGTTTTATTTTTCTTCCTGTCTACTAATGCTCTCAGAAACCTCAAACTATATTTGTTTCTAACTTTATAACATGTTCTTTGAAAAAAGTTTTTATTTCAATTGAGAATAAAATATCGGTTTTTGATTACATGAAAATATACCTTATTTTAATTTTTATTTCTCAATATATTAGGTGTTCTGAATCAGCTACGCATAATATATATATATATATATCTATATTCATTCTTGGATTTCCTTTTTTTTACTNGTTCAAAATTTAATGGTGAATGTTACTAATATAGTTTCCCCAATCATATGTCATATACGTCACCAATTTGTTTGTATATATATATGTAATACAAAAATTATAAATACTTTTGTATTAATAAAGGCATTAAAACTCTTTCGTTTTTATAAAATATCTTTGGTAAAGGATAAGTGTAGATATTCTATTTCAAGGTTGAAAACATACCAATGAATAATAATTAGATTTATATTTCAAAAGAGGAGTTATTTTAAGATCTTTCACTTCCATATAAGGAAGGATTAAACGATTTTCTATGAGAAATAAATAATTTTGATGAGGCGTAAGAATACAGGGAATGCAATATGACTGGCCTCTTTACACATTTTAATTATCGTATAAAACAGAGGAAGCAATGGTTTTTGCGTGGTTTTTTGGTGTTTCATACTTACCAACTAAACTCCGTCGGATCTGACTGGAACTGTGTCTCCCCCTCTCCAGCTGGAAGAGCGGGGATGAGATTTATGCTTCACCATCGATTACTAAATACAAGCTTGTGCACAACATGGCCTCATTATTCCTGTTATTTTGACTCATACTTCACGAAAATATCGAGGTTGTTGCCCTGATATTACATATATATATATTAGTAGTATTGTTCTTGTTTGACAATCTAACATTACTATTTGATTGTTTCTTCCGTCAGCTTGTGATTTTCTTGAAGAAGGCATGGCCGCCATCATCAGTCCAAAATCTCCGTCCAATGTAGGTGTTTTACAATCTACGTGTGATACCTTTGAAATTCCTCTCATACAAACGCATTGGTCGCCTGGTTACAAGGTTGGAAACACCTCCATTAATTTCTATCCAGACAGCCGGGGACTGGCACGTGCTTTTTCTGATTTCATGCTCACTCACAATTGGAAATCATTCACTCTCATTTATGAAGACAATGAAGGTAAGTATATTTCAGCACCTCCCTAAAGAATTTAGCGCATATTTTTTTTGAAAAGTCATTTTTCAAGATTTATTTATAAACATTGTAATAATGATTTACCTATTTAAATGAGCTATCCAGGATTGTCCGAGTGTTTGCATCATCTGCGGAAGAGTTCTTACACTTAATTGTACACCATTGGTCTCCATACATCTGCGATGCATTACTCCGAAATTAATTAAAATATTGATAAAAATAATTTAAAATTAACAAAATTAAAGTGAAGCACAATTTCAAAAGTGCATCGATTTTCTTTTATTTTTAAATTGTATTTTTTAATTACATTATTTCATTTATAATCGCATTTTCTAAAAATAACTTTTGAATGAAAGTTTTTACAGTAAAGTGTATAATTTTATTTTAATTTTCGATAAGACTGTATATGATTAAGTGGAATTGTTTGATAAAAGTTCACTCCAAGTAGATTGCGAATATGTTTAGGTCATATCTAAACTTTTCTACACTTACTAAAACCATTAAAATTTAAGCTTGACAAATGTGTATTTTGGAATTAGTAGGAATGCAATCGAAATTTCACAGAGCGTTGAAACAAAGATTTAAAAACTATAGCAGCAAAGTTTTGTTATACGGAACACTGCCTCTTGTAACTTTTGTAAAGGGATTTGACCTTTACCATAAATTTTCCTATCCCTTACTTGTCTCTTACCAGGGCCATTATTCTTATTTTATTTAAATGTTATATTTAATAAATAAATGAAACTGAAGAAAGGAAGTTTTTATGTTGTAGAAATAAAAAACCACGCAAATTTATGAGCAAATCAACAATAACAGGTCCGAACTTTACTTTTCAAACCAAATTATTTTGTTTGTTTCATTTTTGCATAAAGAAATAATAGTTACAATTAATTATACCCTAAAAATTTATAATGCTTAACTAATGTTTAACCTTTTTTTAACCTTAAAAATACCAGAGAATCATAAAATCTTTATATCCAAACATATTTATGAGCAAAACCACAGGCCTCAAACGTACTTTTAATGCCAAATTATTTTGCTTGTTGTATTATTCTTGAAGAAATAATAATTACAATTAATTATGCCATAAAGCGCATGATGTCTTACAAATGTGTTTTTTTTTTTTAGCCTTAATTCGCCTTCAGGAAATACTACAGTTGCCATCCTCTAAAGGAATAGGTCACAACATAAAAATAATGTTGAGGCACGCAAAACCTGGTCAAGATTTTTCTAAAATGATGAAAGATTTATACAAATTAAATGAAAATAATTTTGTTCTTGATTTACCTTTACCCCGAGTGAAGCAGCTATTTATTGATGTAAGTTTACATGATCCTTTATTCATTCTTCTTTTATGATTTTTTTTCTTTCACCTTTTAATACGAGGTTCGGAAGATATATGCTTTTTAATAATTTCAAATTAAGTTTTAGCTGAGAAATAAAGAAAAAACTAATAAAAACCTTTAGAAACATGTGAGCATGTGGTGGTTGAAATATTGAATCTTGCTTTTTTTCCCCCAAAAATGATATAAAGAGAAAAGCGAAAATAACTAATAACACTTTTTAAACAACAATAAAAAAATTTTATCGGATAAAAAAAAACAGGCTCTGATTTTTAATCCTATATAATAGTCAATTTTTTTAATTAATATTTACTTTCTTTTCCACATAAATGTGGCTCTTTATCTGTATTTATTTTTAATTATGTATTTGTTATTATTTTTGTTTTACTTATGAACTTTAAAATACGTTCTGCATAGCGCAGTCACCTCAGAACAGCCTCGATTTTTAAGGAACTTGCACAAAGCATAGACAGGGGATGTTAAATGAAAGTTCTAAATCTGCATTCCATATCTTCACACATAAGCATGCTCTGAAGTAACTATGAACGCTAAATTACTTCGGAACATGTGTAAGTGAACAGAATTTGAAATATTATTATTAAAAACACTATTATATAAATCAAGGAAGTTTTTTTTTAAATTCTGTTTTATATTGACGTTACTATGATACGATAACATACTTACGATAACAGCCCTGTATTTTGACGTCATAGCTACTATAGTCATAGCAGTGACTAAGACGATTCATAAGCCTTTCCGCTCTCGAATCCGTTCTAATTTATCTGAAGAGCGTGTTTGGAACATAGCGACACTGCAGATATTGTGAAACACATACGCGTTTCAGCATCCCTAAACCGGTTTTGATTGATTAAGAAGGCTGTCAACTTATGCACGCGGGGAATCATTTAATCATTCGAGGAGGAAGAACAGACATTTTTTAGGTTGACCTAGTGATATTGCTGCACCGTGGGATAAATTTTTCATTGCAAATCATGTATCACCCCATCCTTATTTTAAGTCTCGAAAATGTGAGTCTATGCAAACGTAGTATAAACAATGAAACTTAAAAAGCTAAGGAAATGTTCTCAAAATATCATAACAATACAAATTGTTATAATATTTATTTCCTATTGTGCAATCCTGAGAATTTGTCATTAATTTATTAGTATTTTAACATTTAAAAAAAAAAGAGATTATGATTTGAAACTTCATTGTTCACTCAGAGTTTGACCCTAACTCAATTTTTTCTACAATTTAAATATTAAATTATGTATGTTTTTGAAAAAGAATTTGCAATGAAGGTTTTCTCCAGTAGTATAGCATCATCTTATAAGACTCAGTCCAAGCCTCTCTACATTGTTAATTATCCAGGACTGATATTTTTTCTTGGGAGTTTTCAAGTGATGTACTAAAAACAAATTTGGTCTAGGTTAGACGCTGGGGAACCATTAATTCCTTTAAATTGGTTAAGCTAGTGTATCACGAGGAAAACTGAAAAACTGAATACCATGGTGCTTTCTTGTGGTGAAACGGTGTAGAGTCAGAATTTTTTGGATTACTTAATTTCTACACCCTTAAAGAAACATTCAAATGGCGGCATGGGATCAGGATTTCATTCACACATGTCACATTTTTAGAATCCTTAATGACTTCCCAGAAGAAACTTCGTTGAACCCTGAAGAAATATATTTCGGCTTTGACTGACTCAGCGTTCCTTCGCACTCTCATCACTAAAGACAGTCTTTATCACGACAAATTTCCCACTGAAATCTTAACGAAGTTCATACGAAACTTGATGGCAATTCATGGATGATAGTTATTAATGAAACAAAAGCAATTTCACTAAATTTCATACAGTTTCTCCCCCGGATTGTCAGAGATATTAGGGCGACATTCACGCATGCTTAAGCTGACCGTCCCTTTTACTGAATCCAAGTGGTCTCAGAATGCTGAAATGCGAATAAGCTTAACAATAAATTCAGTGGTATTACTTTACGAACGCATCCTGTATATAAAAGTAATATGTTTAAAAAGTTGTAAAAGAAGAAAGTTTTGCGTTTTGCAAACTGAATAATTTCGTTTTTATGCTTTAGAAATAAATTATTTGTACGCAGTATATGTGTACAAATATAGTATATGTGTGCTGCTTATAAGTAGAGTTTTTTTATATCTCATTGAATGCTTTTTAAGGAGATTTTTATTAAAATAACTTAAATTTTTGGTATGGAATATATTATGATTCTATGAATATTTCTTTCAGTATAAATATGTTTTAATGAACACATATTTTTTCCAGGCAACCAAAGTTTCTTTAATGACAGAATATCAAAGTTATTTGTTGACCTCATTAGTAAGTCTCTTTTTTTTCTAATAGCGATTCTTTTTAATGCACTAATTAAGCTAAAGAAATTTATTTCTCAAATAGTTCAATGTTCATTTTATTATTACAATTATTATTATTATAATTATTATTATAATAATTATTATTACAGTGAAACCTCCAGGAAAGAAACACCTCTTTGTAGCGACCTCCTCTATTTACGAGGGGTGGCACGGAATTTTTTTCCATATACTTTGTGTTGAAATAAACCTCTTAGGACATGGCATCAAAGCTTCTCCCAGTGACTGGGAAAACCTTTGCATTAAATGTAGGAAAAGAAACATAAATAAATATCAAAGCGAAAATTATTATCAAAACAAATAATTAGATTAAAATTTAGTCAAAATATCTGTGTGAGGTCCTTATATAGAGAGTTCTTCTTGAGGATCCCTGAAAGAAATCTACAACCTCATGTTGTATCTAGGGTGCACTAAAGCTGATACTGTCAATGATTTATGTTTGAAGTTGAAAGTTGAATTAGACAAAAAGTTTTTTTTTTTATTTCCTCTGAGCTGCACAATCAGCCTTCCCGATGAGCAGACCCAGTGCGTTCTCCGGAAGTGGTATCTACTCTTTCAGGACCACCACAATGGGTGAGATACCGTTGGGCACGCTAACTTGCACGTCTAGTTTCTGCCACACTAGATGGCAGCACCGAGACTCTATTTGGATGCTAAAGTGCACTAGGAATTTAATTTTGCCGGAAATGCCAAGAGCAAATACGGCACTCCAGCGATCTTTTACATGCCGCATAATCATACGACATGGCAGCTATGGATTTTCTGCATCCCGGAAATGTCTGGGCCGGGGATCCAACCCGCAGACTTGAATTCAGAGGGCCAAAGACAAAAAGTTATTTTAGAAAAAAATAAGCATCTCAAACAAGCAAATTTCTTCAAATTTTTTTTCTAAGTAAACTAATTTTTATGCTATAAAATTAAACGAAAGCTTAAGCAAAAAACATAATTGTACATTTATTTAAAATCATTCTATCATTTATGTTTGGGGAATTTGTTTTTACTCATGATTATATCAGTAGGGATAATTTTTATTGATGCTAAATTTTATTCATCGATCCAGTTTTCATGACACAAACACAACTGGCATTTCCGCACCAAGGAAATGACACTGACTAAAATTCAAATCATTTGCGAAAAATCATATACTTTCTATAACATTTTGAAGTAACCCCCTTAGAACGATTATTTTACAGTGAAACAGAGAGTAGTCGTTCCCGAAAGGTTTCTCTGTATCATTGAAAATAATAATAATAACTGTAATTCTGACGTATTATTAATTTGCAGCAAATATTTGAAATTTATATTCGAGTAATTTATTCAGTATTTTTTATTTTATTTTAACAGGATACGCATACAGAAAATTGGACAAATATTGGTTTAGCAAATATTTCAGCGTTTAGATTAATTAATCCTGAAAATGAAAAATACAAAAAGTTTGTAAGCGAGTGGATATTTTCTGAACAAACAGCAGGAAGAAATATCATAAACAAGCAGCCAGTGACGGTAATTTAATTAATGCTGATATATTCCTTTTTTTACAGCTAAAACCTTAATCTTACACAAAATTTTTCAATATTTTGAAGCTAAAAAAATATTTCTAAATAAATAGAATTTTTTTGAAAAATATGGGAATATATCATTCCCATTTCCAATAATTTCCGTTGCAAATATGGCTTGTGTTTTTTTTTTTCTTTTTTTCTTATTGTGCCTGATAGATTTATGATTATTAATAGGTTCACGTTCTTTCAGATTAGTTGGAAAATGTGTGAAAAAACACTCAATCAGGTTAAATTAGTTTAGTATAAATTGCAATAAACTTTTAATTACGCTGTTCTCAATATGAAGTTTTTGACAAGTACCTGAAAAAGTTGTACTGGTTGAATAATAAATTATGGGTTTTCTAGCTTAAATAACAGTATGTGGGCATAACACAAGAAATTCTATTTCAGTCTTTTAGAGAACTAAGAAACTTCACCCCTGATTGTTCCGCCCACCAAACCCAGTAATTATTCTCATTCATCATAATTCATTTTTCATTAAAAGTCGATGCCTTCCTTCCTTTTCTTTAAAAAAGAACATTTTGTTAGCAAATATGCAATTTTTGCTGTTTTATGTAGTAATACTTTCTCAATATGTAAATGTTAATTTAGATCACCTTTCTTTAGTTATTGGGATGACCACTTCTAGGACAAAATAGCACTCTCTCGACTAACATGGTATATTTTTGAAACAAATAACTGTCCAAAAAAAGTGATCATTCTATTCCAGAACGCGCTTTAGTTTTTAAGAAACACTTTTGTGGAGCAGGCAACCAGGATTTTTCATCTTTTAATTAGTTGTTGTAGTTAAAATTTATTTAATTTAAGGAATTTACATTCAAACTCGTTTGCATACCACCTATCGAATGTCACCAAAAAATACCCGTACCATACCTTTCTAGCAATATACGCCAGCAAATATTTTAATATAAAAATTTGGAAATTTTAGGCCCATATAATATTCAGTTATATAAAAATGTGTTATATAAAAATGTGTTACATAGAAAAATTAGAATGTTATATAAAATAGATGGTATTAATATGCTATCTAAAAAAATCAAAATGCCGAATTATAATTATTTGAACAGTGATTATATGATAACTATGTCCAATGTTATATAGAAAAATAAAATGTTATATACAATAGATGGTGTTAATATGCTATCTAAAAAAATCACAATGCCAAATTATAATTATTTGAACAATGATTATATGATAACCATGTCCAATGTTATGTAGAAAAATAAAATGTTATATAAAATAGATGGTGTTAATATGCTATCTAAAAAAATCACAATGCTAAATTATAATTATTTGAACAATGATTATATGATAACTATGTCCAATAACAGTTATTTCTATTTTAAAAATATTTTCAGACAGAGGCTGCTCTTGTATACGATTCACTTCTGTGGCTGTCTCATATGATAAATGAACTTGACAGAAGTAAGCAGATTCATATTAAATCATTGTACTGCGACGGAACACAAACCTGGGCTTCAGGTTTGCAATTAGTTAACGCCATGAAAATAGTACGTTTTATCTATTTATTTATTTATTTATTTTTATTTCAGCTGCAATAATACTGCACTGTAGAATTTTTTCTAGCTAAGACACTATTCCTATGGATTTTAAAATGATCTCCTGAATCCAAATATTACTCCGGTTGCCTCGTTTAATGAATCTTTAAAAACTTTTACAAAAGAACTTAGGAGTCTCTTAGAGAGTCAAAAACATTTATTTTAACGATTAGGGGATGTGGATTGAGGCTAGAAGGAAGAAACGGTTCTCGTAAATCTTCAATTATAGCAATTAGGGAGATTTTGATGGGTTGGGCCACCTTCAATAACATTAAAAAAGGAAGAAGAAAAAAAGAAATTTTCTAATATTTTTTCTACATATTTGAAGGTTCAGCCATAATGCCTTCCTAAATACGTCATATTATTAAAATTATTTAGTTTCGGTTTTAACTAAAAACGGAAAAATGGATTCTAAATCTCAGGCGAGAAAAATTTGGCCTCCCTTTCCCCTCAACGCTTTAAGCCAATATTGTTTCTAATTATTTTTATTGTTTGGATGGAAAAGAGTGTAACTGAATTTTGAATATGTAGAGAACTAGTTTTAAAAAATTTCAAAACTAAATAAAAAAAACTATAATTTAAGATTCTTTTCCAGTTCAAGGGCAAAAATTTCCAAGAAATTTCTCCTTTCTGCAAATGTTCGTGTCTTAAAACTTTGAATCTCGCTAGACTTACGTAAGATGAATAAAGGTAAAAACAATCATTTTTCCCGTCTTATATCAAATTTATGACAGTTAAATCATTGAATGAAGTAACAAATATAGTCATGTCACCAAAAAAGGGTAGATGAGGAATAATTATTTGCTGAATGGTGTCAGGGCTTTCATTTTCGCGAAGAACTGTATAATTTATCAAAAATGTGAATTTAATAGAGCAGAGTTCCGCTTTTAACTTTTGAATTTTTATCAATCACAGCTCACTGACAATTATATTTAAAGTTTCTTAATAATAAAATACAGCAATTGAACTACTAATATTATTTCTTGGGTAATAATTGTTCATTAAGTACTCATAAGGATTTGTTTTTGCAAGGTTTGTAAATGGTACGATTTAGGAGGCTGGGATAGCCTAGTTGGTAGGGCGTTGGGCCTATGTTCAAGAGGTAGTGAGTTTGACTCCCGTGCAGTAAATAGTGACTAGTGCACGTTTAATCCGTCGGTAACGAAGTCCTCAGTGTTTCCATAACAAATCAATACTTCTGCGGGTACTGAATAGGAGTTTGATAGTTCTCTTGTTCATGTCAAAATTACGGCCTATGGATCAATGAATGAATGTATGAATGAATCCACCCTATAAACGGGCTGTGACGTGTGTGGCTGAATTCGTGTTCTTGGACATAGATAGCGCCACTGAAAAACAAGAAGCGCACCACGTGCCTTAAATACGCTTGGTTTCACCAGACAGGCTTACTAGTGTTGGTAAGTGGCGTTAGAGATAACAACGGTTCTGAAAACCGGTTGCTTTTTTCGTACCAACCTCAAACTTATTGGGTACTTATGATTAAATTAATAAATCGACCACGTGAATCCAAAAAAAATTTTTAATAGTGGAATAAGAAGTGTCATATTAAATTTATTTAGCAGTTACAAGTATAATAATATTATTTTATGTCAAAGAAATGTTGAACCTGATTTTAAGGTGATACAAAATTCAAGTGTTACATTGCTTGTGATGTTTTTTTATTGCATTTTATGAGATCTGTAACCAACTTTCTTTTCTTAAATTTAACAAATGGGGAAATTGGTTCGGTCGAAGCCTTTAACTGGTAAGTTACTGTGACAAATCAGCCTATAATCACATTACTATTTCATTGTTAGATCACTACTTTAAAATACTAGAAAGCTTTTAAATTAGACAGTTTTTATCACTTTTTTTCGTACCTGGAGTAAGTGATAAAATAAATCTCATCAAAAGAAAATTAAATCTCAATAAGTTTTCAGAAATAGTTTCGTTTATTTCCGATTGATTTGCATATAGTATGAAGTTTTGCGCCAAAAAAAAATTAGCTTAGTTAAAAATTTACTTATGAGAATAGTAAAAACCTTTGAAATACTATTCTCGTCTGTTGCAACCTTATTCAATGGGAGTTGGTAGGGAATAAATCAATAATGCTAAATTTGAACTTTTTTGATGCACCTTTTCTAAGAAACTACTTTTGATATCGTTCTGTAATTTTTTGGGGATATTTGAGATTATATTTGCTGCATGATGTGGTAATGTTTTAGCGTTAACAAGAATAATTTTTGAGTCAATTTAATTTTGACAAAGATTTTTGCTCAAAAATGGTGCAACTTCTTAAAAAATCAGGATTCACAGTTCATAATTTTTTAAAAAATAAATTCGGAGAAAGATATGTAATAAAACTATCATATTGTAAACATGCATTAAGTAACTATTTTGTGAAAAGAAACTGAAGTAATATCATGCTTAGATGCTGAGAAAAGGCACATTTCGAAGGGTTAGTTTTAGCATTATTGGTATATGCCCAAACAACTCCCTTTAAAAGTCTCAATCACGAAATCGGAAATTCGATAATCGGAGAAAGTTTGCTGATAAATAATTTTCAGCCACCTTTCGACAGTTTGAGTGAAGTATAGTTTGAAAGATTTTAAATTCAGTCTATTCAGTAGTTGAAATTAATTCATTGCTCTTAAATCGTGCCGGTACGATTTATGAATGCACACGACACACAATTCAAGCTACTACGTAACTTTTTTTTTATAAAAAATTTTTTTTTCAAACCTCTAACAGCAGTTATCTAGCAAAATATAACGTAAGAGCAATAACATTTTACAATTATATAATGTATTAAAATATCTCGAAATCACTGCAGTTATGCTACTCTCTTACGCAGGATGTTCGAAAATTTCATTGAAATCTTGTTAAACAAATTAAATCGAAAGCGACTTGACTCATCTTCATGGATCTATATGTAAAAAAAATCTTTCTAATTTATCCACTAGAGCGTAGTTTCTCCAATTTGTATTTCTTCTGAAACCAAAGGTGGTACGATATTCAAACGGTGCGATTAAACGGTGCGATTTTAAAGACTCTTCTCTATAATGTGCCGGTACTTAAAACCGTAATTTAATACAAAATCTTTTCAATGTTATACCATTTCAAATACAAAAATGAATATATTCATAATTGGACAAATTTGAGCAGTTTTTAAGAAAAAAATACTTAGTGTAAAAAAAAATCATAAAAAAGTTTGATCTTCAAACAATTAGCTGCTTCCATAAAATCTATTATCTCTTAAAGAAACAAACATTTTTTTTGGAATCTTGTAATTTACAATTAAATGTAATTACAACACCTTTGGTGGACAATAATTTAGCTTTTCTTCGCACTTTTTTTTTTGAAATTTTACCTAAGCATTCTGCATTATTTTTTATTAACCATATTTATATCTAATTTATATTTCTTTATTCAACAGAGTTCCCCAGAATATACGACAGGGATATTGAAATTTGATAAAAATGGGACACGATCAAGCTTCGAGCTAGATCTTGTAAAAATTTCAACAAAAGGATTACACAAGGTAACTCATTAAGGCTAATACAATATCTATGCAATAGCATCTTTATTTGTTTTAAAGTGTAATTGTATGAACCGTAACTATGGAAGTGCTTAGATTTTTTTCAATTTGGAGATTTGACTACGCAATTTTACATAATAGGCATACAGTGCGTAAGCTTTGAAGAAGCAATTGCGCATGCTCAATTTTTTCCCCTCTATCCTGAATAACTTTATGTTTTGTGGACTTGACTTGCGTCATAAAGTTATAACAATGCTGTTAAAGTTGTTAGATCAACCAGCTGTTATCATAACATGCACGAATGAATTTGTAACAGTTTAGAGATACTTTTTAAGGTTTATTGCCATTCGTTATAATGTATGAACTAATTTAAAATCATTCATCATTTTAGAATTTTATAAATCGATTAACTTTTCCTATAAAATATTTATAGAATAATATTACCGGTATTTTTATTTTTATGGGCAAAAACTAAATATCGTTTATGAAACTATTTTTTACAATATGATAACATTAAGAACTTAATAGTTTTGACAACACGAATAAAATAACATGTTACATATTTTTTTGTTCAAATCATTACTGCTTCTAAAAACCAACAGCTCATTTTAGTCCATGTAACATCAGTTTGGCCCTAAAACAGGACCATTTCCTTTTTAATTCATAAATAATTAGTTGATTATATGCATATTATTAAACATTATATTGGACGGATGTTGCATAGTTCTAAAGTAATTGAGTGAACTTGAAATCTTAGAACGAATCCTCCACAAAATCATCTGACTTAAAAGAAGTTAGTTTCTAATATTCAAACTCATATATGAAAATATTATCAAATTACCGTTACACGTTGAATTTAAAACCCTGGAATCTAGGGCTTTAGGTAAATTCTCACCATTTATTACGTAGAAGAAGCTTACTGAAGATTAGCTGTGATGACAAATCGTGTTAAAGAGCGTATTCCATGTATATGTATATTTCTAGCCTCATTTGTATATTTTGTTCGTTCATTTAGTAATTTTCTTCTGAATTAATTTTTTTCCTGAAAATTAAAATTTGAATTACATTTAGGTCAATTCTTTTCAAATTAAGGTTTACTTCTTTCTCCCCATAAAGAAATGAAGTTTAAGGCTCATTCAGAGTGAGATATATATCCTTCGATTTCAATTGGGTACATGCAACTCTTAAGAAAATGATTATGCCTGTTTAAAATCATATTTAATCTGTTACGTGTAAACGACGTCACGACGAATGCGTGTCGAACCAGATTAGCTTCTGAATTAACAAATGCCGCGATTTACCCACGATGACGTCACTTACATGCATCCTACTAAAACTCAGTGGCGCGACAGCCCATAGAGGGCCAAAGCATTCTGTGCCAATCTCAGTTTTCTTGACTTTGGGTTCTGGGGTGCAGAAGCAGATGTTCCGGTCAGGTGGTCAGCCGAGCACGGAACACCCAGTGTTTAGTTCCCAAACATGCTTGGTACTCATTTATCGACCCACTGAAGGGATGAAATGCTGAGTCAACCTTGCCTGGCGCAAGGATCAAACCAGGGGCCTGCGGCAGGACAGCGCGAAGTGCTACCGCTCAGCCACCGGGGGTCTTACATGCATCCAATTAAAGATTTATTGATATATCTCTGATCCTAATTACCACTTTATAAAATTTAAATTTTTAAATTTATTTAATTCTTGATTTCAAAAGTAATTTAAAAATCCAAATTTGTTGTTAATCGTTCCAAATTTTTGATTTCTTTTTAAATATTTTTTATTGCTTAATTATTTTTTGTTGATTGTTCTAAATTTTTGATTTCGAAACAAAAATCACCTCACTTCTTTTTTATATACCTGGGTAATATACTTTTGCATTTATGTTAGTTTGATCAATTCCTATAATACTACTATGGTTTCCCTTTTAACGAATGTCTCTATTTTAAACAATTTCCTTGTTTTTTTTCCTACATAGGTTGGTACCTGGGATACAGAAATTGGATTACATTTATCTAAGCGAGGGGACGGAGATGAATTTGGTGACGTTTTGGATATCTTGAAAAACAAGACTTTGAGGGTTACAACAAAACTGGTGCGTAAATCGAATTGAATGGTTTCATGTGTCAATGTATAAATTAACTTTATATTCATTTCGATATTGTGCTATTGCAGACTGCGCCGTACATGTCGAAAGTGGAATCTGATCAAGAACTTAGGGGAAACGATCGATATGAAGGATTTTGCAAGGATCTTTTAGACAAACTAGCCAGTAAACATCATTTTCAATATACGATAAGAGAAGTGGTGGATGGTAATCATGGAAAAAGACTTGATAATGGATCTTGGAATGGAATGATTGGTGAACTCTTACGAAAGGTCTGTTTCTTGTTCTTTTACTCATTATTTCAACTAAATAAGTGTCTTCATCTCTTTTCATTTATCAATCAGTACTCAAAACGTTTACTAATTTTTTTATAATATATATTTTTTATTTTTACGAAAATAAAATGTTTAAACAGTAGCCATACAAAGGCATTAAATAATTGAAATACATTAAATAAAATAATATGGATTTCGTGAAAAAAAAGGTTTTTATAGGGTTCCACGTTTCAACACTCTACCAGGCTGCATGATAATTTTTTTACTCAGCGAACATTAATCTGCATCTAACCTCTGCTTCAACCTCTGCTGCTAGAGACTTTTCAGTTCTCAGGATGGTGCCCTCAGAACAGGACCTATAGCCTTGGCAAAAAAAGTTGCTTTTGAGGTTGACAGATGTAAAAATGTGGCACAAAATGAGATTATGTTTTGCACCAAAAATAATCTCATTAAGAAGCCTCAGTTACACCTCACAAAATCAATCTCATATGTAACTCAGAAATAATTTTACTTAGATCGAGGGAAATTATTCACACCTCAAATATACAAATTTGCTGAAGTGTCGAAAAAAATTCCGTATACTTCAAAAACAACCTCCCTAAGCTGGATTGCTCTTAACTGTATTTCCATCCAGTGTTAATAAAACAATCGCATACACCTTGATTATACTCCTTGGGAGGTTGATCTTGGGAGGTTGATGTTTTTAAACGAATGAATCGTGACTTCGAATGAATTTCAAACCAACCTTGACACCTCAGAACAATCACAAAATTACCTTAAATTTCTGTAGGGGAAGGCTATCCCTCCCCCCACTCTTAGAATTCACTTTCTTTTGCATTCTATATATTTTTACATGAGATATTTTTCGCTTAAAGTTTTTTTTTATGTCTTTTTCTTTACAGTAAACTACATTCCTTAGCAGAAATATTTCTGTTTATTTTCTTTGTGCGGCAAAGTAAACTACCTCAGGTTATCTAAGTGGGCGCAAAAACATATTTTAGTTTCATATGAGTAATAATAATAATTAAAAAAACTAAAATGAAAATAAATGCAAACTTTTTGCAAACAAATTTAAAAGGCAAAAAATTCATAAATTTATTGGTTTGATATGTATGTATGTATATGAATATTCATATAATAATAAATAATTTATCAAATCAATATTCCGGTAAGGCAGTTTATTTATTTGTAGAAATATTTCAATATGTTCCTTTGATAATTTAAATCAAATCAGGTATGTTATTCAAATATGGATGTTTTAACCCTATAAATTTAGGGTAACATTACTGCACCCCTATTACCCTTCCTACCCCAATCCCCCTCTCAGACTTGTACATGCTGCATTAACGGATGATATCTCAACATTACGGATTTAGTCTTCCTTATTTACGAATGCAGCGCTTGAATTATAAATGAACGTTTTCACGGTATTTCTAGTTTAAAGGTTCCTGTCTTTTGCTTGGTTCGTTTCACCATCACACTACCACTTCACTTTCTCTACTCTATACTACGAATAGAGATATATATATATATATATATATATATATAGTCCCCGAAAAATTGGTTTTTATTTTCATATAGGAATTACATACATTTCATATAAGAATTCAAATTACTACCACGAATTACTTATTCTAAATGGTCATTGAAAACAAGTTCTCAATGGCTGATAATTGGCAACTTCTGAAATTAAAATTTTGTGAAATTCAAACTCTGTGTAATAACTTGCATATTCTTGTTCTTCATATTCTGCTACTTCCTGGCTCCTGCCATATAACATTCTGAATAATCTGGAGTTTCATGTTTTTTAAATGCTCATTTCCAATAACACAATTCCATTAATACTTAAGTCCTGCAGTGGACCGATTGTAAAGGCACGGTTCCCAGTGGAACACCGAAGTCAAGTTTCACTGGCTGTGGCCAGTAAACGGGTGGGGACCACTTTGATTAGCCTGCGTAGGGACTGAGGATGCACGGTATTGGTTTTCGTTAAGTATTCGACTTTGAGTGCAGGTCGTTGACCTACAAAAGCAGGGGAGCCATCCCTTCTTCAGAGGATCAAAATTGCGCTGACTTGTATGCGAATCATTCTCAGGGATATTTCCCGGACTGTCGCCAATAGCCCATTGTGAAGCTCTAGTGCGAGAAAAAAAAGTACCTACCTACCTACCATGTCCACTTAAAGTAATTTTTGTCCTTTTCGTTGCATTCAACATAGTATTTCTAATCTGTAGGGGGAAAAATTGCGGACTTAGAACAATTTAATAATACTTAAAAGTTTTTCTTTTTAATAGTAAATCATCTATTAAACAGTTTATACTTAACATTGTTATTTGCATTATTCAGGAAGCTGATATAGCCATAGCTGACTTGTCAATAACTTACGAAAGAGAAGAAGCTGTGGATTTTACCATGCCTTGGATGACACTTGGCATCAGCATTCTTTTCAAAAAACCTGACAAGAAGAGTCCACCCATGTTTTCATTTCTTCAGCCTTTATCATTAGAAGTGTGGTTCTATATGGGAACAGCATACTTAGGAGTGAGCTTGTTTCTATTCATCTTAGCAAGACTGAGTCCTTATGAATGGGTGAATCCTCATCCATGTGATACTGAGAATGATACCGTGGAAAATCAATTTACTCTTCTAAATTGCTTCTGGTTTACGATTGGTTCAATAATGCAGCAAGGTTCGGATATCTTACCCAGGTTAGAGTCTTACAAATTAATTGTGTGTATTACGCATGTACTGCCTGCTGTTTTCTGATTTATATTTAGTATTCACGAGCTACTGTCACTGTGTTTTTAAAAGTAATCCATGTTTTAGTGGATTTTTCGATCGCACAACAAAATTAATTTCAATATTTATTTTATTACTTTGACTTAAATTTAATCTATAATGAAATAAGTTATGTGAAATAAGTGTTACGGTGTATAACAACAGTGAATAACAGTGGGTATCATCCCTTTTAGGATACCTAAATATGATAAAGATGGTAACATTTCCATCAAAATGTAACAATTTAAATAATGTATAATTGCAAAATATTTTAGTAAATGAACTGAAAATTAACGGGTTTATAGTTCATGCAACTTCAGAGAAAAATAGTAATTTGAGAAAACATGAGTTTTCGAAAGCTTAGTTCAACCATATGAGTGGCTTTTTTGAAGGGAAAAAAATTGATGTTTTTTTTTTTTTTTTAATTTTGTAAAAATAAAAATTGATTTTAAAAAATTCCTTTATCCCTCGTTTAAAATTTGTGTGGGTGCTTGATATCGGAGCATTTTTTGTTGTGTTAGATTTAAGGAGAAGGTAACTTATCATGTTATTCGTTATAATTTCTTGCATTTTAGTCCTAAAGCATTTTTGAAGCAGAAGCTGGAATTTGTGCGATTTATTCTGTTTCCTAATACTTGTCAGTAATTGATTAAAAATTGTTTTGAGTGTTTGCTGGGAATTTTCGAAAACTCTATGTTTTAGATAAATTTTACATAATGTGCGAATCCATAGAAATATGTAATTATATGAATATATTGTTAAACTTAAAATCCTGAATCATTTAATCATGAATCATCATATCATAATTTTTTAATAAAGACTTGAATTTGGGTACATGGTACATTTTGTGTCGCAAGAACAGTTTAGAAATACTAACTTAACAAGTAAATTGTATCGGGTAATTTTGTTTGTCTCGTTAGAGTTAATACTTTATTACTAAATGATTATTTTTAATATTCTCATTGAACACCTCCTTGAAAAGGAAAGGCCTCCGTACGGGTAACCAACCATAACCGAGCAATCTGATACTTTATTATCCCAAACGCTGTGACATCTTTCGTATTTTTCCTGCAGTTCATTTGCCTGGACGTTGTGAGATCTTCTTTATCTCCTCCCTGCCCAGTTCGTTACGTCCGAATCTATAGTGACCAGTACTGATGCCTCTTATCTTCTAAGAGGTGTTTCCTTGACCAGATAAGTCCACGACTATCTCAGCCATCTGGTGCAGTGATTGTGAAGAACAGAGGTTCGATCCTCTGTGACGGCGTGAATCCTGACCAGTTTCAGATCCTTCGGTAACAGATTTTCTGGGAAGAAAAGGTGACCTATGCTCCATACTGATCCCAATGCCGTAAACATGCCATACGAAATTGCAGAGCCTTTGTCTCCCTGAACTTCCAGTCCCGCAAAGCATTGTGGTGTGAATACTTTACTTTTTATTAATTCGACTTAATATTTTACATATTATTACAAACCCTTACAGTTTTAATATACTTTAGAAAGTTTCAAGCTATTTATTGGGGTCATTTCTTGAACAATACATCATAAGTTATAGTAGTTAAAAAGAAATGTCTTGTTTCATTCCAGAGCTATTTCAACCAGAATAGTTGCTAGCAGTTGGTGGTTTTTTACTTTAATTATGATATCATCATACACAGCAAACTTAGCAGCTTTCCTCACGTCTCAACGTATGACATCTCCTATAACTGATGCAAAAGATCTTGCAAAACAAACGACAATTCAGTACGGGAGTGTGGATGGAGGATCAACTCAAGCTTTTTTTAGAGTAAGATTACAGTTTAAGTTAAGTTTGATAAATATCAGATGTACTAACAAGGGAAAAAACTTAAAAATTGGAGATACAGATTTTTTTTAAAAACTATATACTAAACAAAGAGTAGAGATAGGTCGTGATTATGTAATGACACGAGATGTAAATTCTTTCCTTTGCTATGCTGATTAATTTGAAGAAATTTACAATCATGATTTTGCATAAATGTGGCTAGATCTCTCAATAATGCAATGCTCGGGCAGTCATGAGCGTGTCATTAAAATTATTGTTTTTATAAGAATCCAGAAACACTCAAGTCAATTGCGGTAAATCGAAAATTTTAGACCCCTCAAAAAACCTTTTTAAACACCTTTAGACCAAAATGAGCTATTTTTTCATTGAACTAAGAGGAAATGTAAGTCAAAAAACATAAATAGTCCCATTAATGCTTGTCATTACAGCAATTTTTTGGAATCTGTAATATCTGAATGAATCTGAATAATCTAGCAAAAACAAAAGATAATAAATAAAGCTACTGCTCGGAAACAATGTTTATTATTCTACCGGTTTTAAAATAAAATTTAATTAGATTATGGGTACGCGAAGTGTTTTACTATTTGCTTATTACCTTCAATGTATGAAATCAAACATTCTATAGAAAGCTTAGGCTTTGAAAAAAAAATGTTTAAAATCGACCCGATAAGTATGAAATGATTAATTTATCATTCACTTCCTAAGTAGTTTATAGAAAAATTATCATGCCATGTTGACTTCCGAACATCAGATTCGATCATTGTCTTAGCGTAAGTTGGTATTGGCAATTATCTTGTGTACTTGCTCCTTGTTTAATGCATGTAACTCATGTATTGTTGTTGTCTCTGTGGAAAATAGCATAGATGAAGAACTAACAAAAAATATTAAATGCAGTACCTCTAATTAAATTATGCACCAAGAAGTGACGCATTTACCTTATATGTTGTCACCCAATCATGGAATTTCGTTTAAAGGAAATCGTAAATACAATACCTCCAGTCAAAATCTACACAAAAAAAACAATGCAGTTATATAATGTTCTTATATGACGAGCGGGGAATTACGCGATAGGGAATCATAGATGCCAAGTATCCAGTTAACTCCGTGTTTCAAAAACGACACTTTTTCAGGACCGAGTGCTCTATACCTAAAAGTAACCTTTCGTGCCTATGATAAAACATTTTTAAAGTAAATATTTGATATTAACATAGATGGGACTAAAATGATGATACAGGGGTTGGACGAAATAATGGAAATTCTTTCATGCTAAATTTTTTTTTGTTGACATTTCTCAAAAAATACTTCGAGAATGAGTTCATAAATTTAGAAATGTATAGAAGATCATGAAACTTCTCACTCATATCAAGAAAGTTTAAAGCTTTTTGAGGTTTGAGGAACCAACAATAAATTACAAACTTAAAAAATATTTTTGAGCACCCTTGGCCAAAAAAATATTTTTTTTTATTTCCAATGCCCGCCTGTGTCAACATCCGTCAATTCAAGCGTATACAGGGCGATTTTGTTGGCCTCTCTTTCAGGGTCACCATATTAGGTGGGCCAGCGTCGCTCCCACAGTGAGGACAGATAGTGCAGAGAGGGAAAGAACATCCATGCCTTGCCCGGGATTCGAGCCCAGAACCTTTCTGATGCAAGGACAGTTCCCTGCCCCCTACACAGGCTAGTCGGCGACCAAAAAAATATAATAATGCATTTATAACTTATAACTATTGCTTTAGTTATTAAATGCAATAATTGCCCAAAAATTCGTAAACCTAGTTTAAATATTAATGAAGATATGGACATTTTAAAAAAAACGATTTTTTTTTTGTGTTATCTTTTTTTGCTTTAACTTTGAAACAATTTAATGCAACAAAGCCTTTGTATCAAATTAAAATTGATTACAAAATTATTGCTTTGAAATTTGAGAAAAGTTGTTAAAAACAATTAGCAAGCTCTGAAATGTGTGCTTCCTTAGTCGAAGGAATATTTTCCTGAATTGAAAACTTTATTTACCATGGTAATGATCGACTATTTTGGGGAATGTATCTTGTGGAATATAAAATTTATTTTCCAAAAGTGTATGATAATTAGTTGAATCAACTTATCAGTTTCAGTCTTAGTAACTACTTTTCGAAAAATCTGGAAAGAAAATAAAAAATTAAATAAATAATCTTTTTTATCAGCTCGTACAGCAAAATCAGGAAAAAATATGTTAATGCCTCAGAATTATGTGTGATATATAATCACCTGTTTTAAATTTTAAGTTAATGTGAATGTTGAATTAGATACGGTTACAAAATCTGAATATATTAAAACTGCAGAAAATATCTGCGCATATAATTACGTAAAACTATTCGTTCTGGAACTGATATTGCCATATCATTAAATAATGATTTATCTGAAAAAACAATTTTCAGTTTTAGTCCTCTTAAAAAGTTGTATGTCTTGTTTTTCATATATTGCATGATTTGTAAAGTTTAATGAAGTATTAAAATCAAAAATGGCTTTTATAATTTATTTGGTTAGCTTATGAATCTAAAATTTTAATTACGTGTACTATCTAATATATTATTAATTTTGCATCCAATATTTTAGTAATTAATAAAATTCTTAAATTGCAATAAAATTTTTAAATTAATTCAATTTAATTAGAGAGATATTTACTTCCAATTAAACGATTAATTTAATTTACACAAATGAAAGAAAAAAAATTTAAGAAAATTTTTGCATTCTTCAAGAAAGCTTTGATAAAATAATTCCATAATTACTAAAAAATCAAGAATACTTACTTAAAGAAAAAAGATTGCTTGTATTGAAATTTATTTTCCGAACCGTCTAATAGAAAGCTAAATTAAAAAGTAAAGATAAATTTCCACTCGTTTTCGAAAGTTTATTGCTTCGCTTAAATATGTCGTTAAAAAATGATAAATATACTTAATTATATGGAAATAAGTCTTCCATGGAAAATAAAGCATAAGCTTCTATAATTATGAACTACTCATTTTCACTCTGAACATACTTAATTGCATTCGAAGTAAATCATCAACTGTAAGAAAAAAATAGATCTTAATAATTTAAAACTATATATATTCAGTGATTATTTCGCGCCTTGTTTAAGTAGTGTAAATTTAGCAAATAGGGTTAGGAAATACATTAGTTGCAACTCAAATTTCAAATTCTGATGTAAACAAATACATTTACTTGAAATCGGGATGAATTGAAGTTGTAAATGATTTTGGTGGGAAAGATTTTGGTTTTAGTTACTTTGAAGTTACAGTACGATTCTGCATGATTACCTTGGCTGCTTACTAAATGTTTCTTATTCCGCACTTTGAACAATCTGTTTCCTTGAAGTAAATTACATGCCAGCAGTGCAAATATAGTTTATACCTACATTAAAGTACAATTTACCTACGTTTAAATTAATCATCAGAAAAATGTTAATTTTTCTTTTCTTCATGGTAGCAGTCTATGGGAGAACAAGCATAGAAGTTACCATTAATTTACTTTTCCAGTATAAACTGCATCATAAAAAATTAAACTAACGTAATCGAAAACTGACATGCTTATAATAAATTTTATTATAATTATTTTTAATATAAATTTTGAGATACTTCTGATAGTTTTCAGTTACAATTATACTAATTTCAATGTGTTAAATTATACTAGTTAGTGCGCATTAAACTTATTAAAAATAAGAAGAAAATAATCGTTTAAAATCAGGGCATGAAAGGCATGAAGGGCAGTATTCAGTTCCATTGTATTATTCGGTGAAGTACATCTATACGTATACTTATGTATACTTTTGGTGAGGTACAAGTATACGTATAGTTATGTACACTTCAGTGGAACTTTTTATAAATTTATACATGAAACTTGCGCTATGAATTCCTTTTATCTAATATTTTGGTGATTAATTTGCTTTATTTTTTGTTTTATTTAGTTTTACTTGCTACGGAAAAGTAATTTACACTTGTGGCAAATTTTCAAATAACGACAACTTTCTTTTAGAGTTGATTTTTTTTGAGTAGGTAAAAAACTAATATTTGTTTTTAAAAAAATGTAACATTATAAGTGATAATACAGTGAGCACAAAATTTCCACTTGGAGATATGAATTTTTTGGGCTTAAGTAATTTCCAATTGTATCACAATTTTAAATAGTACTTCATACTTTGATTCCTAGGTGTAATATTTCATAACACATTTAATCAAAAATTATTGCTAACTTTACTAAAATGTTTACTTATAAAAAGCAAAAGTTTCCGGTAAAATGTGGTAGCACACAAAATGTCGGTACTTTCAACCGTAAAATCCATTTTTACCAGGATATGTTGCGGAATGAAAAAAATTTGACTTACAGCAATTCTTAAAGTAACAATTATCATAAAATCTCTGAATCACTGCAATTAAATAAATATTTCTAACAAAATCACGGTAAAATATTTTTTGGGTGAAATGGTTTTTACGGATGATTCCCCTAAGTACCCGTACTTTAAACAGTAACTTTCAACAGTTAATGTAATAACACAATGAAGTCTTAAAAATGGTAAAAGAATATCCCTAGCTTTAAAATATTATATATATACGAGTGTTTATTATAAAAAATTGCTTTATTAATATTTTAAATAATTATTATTTTTAAACAGAATTCTTCTTATCCGATTTACAAAAGAATGTGGTCATTTATGGAATCTCAACGACCATCGGTATTCACCAAAACTAATGGCGATGGAATTTCCAGGGTAAAAATGGGAAATTATGCTTTTCTTATGGAGTCAACAAGTATAGAATATATCACTGAAAGAAGATGCGAACTGACAAAAATTGGTGGAGAACTGGATTCAAAGGGATATGGAATTGCAACCCCACCCAGTAAGTTTTATTTTTATTTAATGAATTGTTTCAGTTCAATTGAAATACCATGTGTTCTGATCCAAAGAGATATAGAATTGCTACATCTCCTACTAAGTTCTTTTTTTCTATTATTAAAAGGACTGTTTGCGTTGAAATAAATTGGATCCAAAATCCTTTTGATCCAAGAATCTTTTGATGTTATGTAATGTGAAAACAAAATTGTTTTTATTTTCCATGCGATGAACATTTCTTGAATTATGAAGTATATTTTATATATATATATATATATATATATATATATATATATATATATGCAGATATATATATATATATATATATATATATATATATATATATATATATATATATATATATATATATATATATATATATATATATATATATATATATATATATATATATATATATATATATATATATATATATATATATATATATATATATATATATATATATATATATATATATATATATATATATATATATATATATATATATATATATATATATATATATATATATATATATATATATATATATATATATATATATATATATATATATATATATATATATATATATATATATATATATATATATATATATATATATATATATATATATATATATATATATATATATATATATATATATATATATATATATATATATATATATATATATATATATATATATATATATATATATATATATATATATATATATATATATATATATATATATATATATATATATATATATATATATATATATATATATATATATATATATATATATATANATATATATATATATATATGTATGTATCAATAATGTCAAAAAGGCTAAAAATAAAATGGGAGGAAAGTAGGAGGATAATTAAGAAAAATATTACGTTTCATAAACTGCTCACAAGCTGTTATTATAATAAAAGGAGAAGAAGAAAAATCATTAAAATAAAATATTTTAAAAATATTTATTTATTTTTAAAACATTTACTCTCCTGTAGTATTTACAGTACTGCAGTAGGAACGCTCCATAAAAAAGCTCCCTCGATTTAAGCTTCTAATCTCTATTTACTCTTCTATTTGCATATTTTGTAATTTGGCAAACTTATTACGAAAATATATTAAATCATTTTTGAAAGATTTCTGAGTAACGTGAAAGAACAAAGAACGTGAATAAAGTCAAATAATGACTTAATTGATTTTAGATACATTTAACTTAAAATATTAAATTCTTTCTTCTAGATTCACCATATAGAGGTCTCCTGTCGAGCGGAATACTCGAGTTACAAGAAACACAACAGTTGCATATGCTGAAACAGAAATGGTGGAAAGCACCTGTTCAATGTGTAGACGATAGTGCTGCAGACTCGGCGGAAATGGGTATTCGAAACGTAGGAGGTGTTTTTCTTGTACTTGGTATTGGCTCATGTTTAGGAGCGATTCTTGTTGTCATGGAATTCGTATGGAAGGCCAATAAGATATTAGAACGGGTAAATATTTTATTCCCTTAGAACGACTTTCGTAATTACTAATTAATCAAAAATTTAAGAAGTATCCTTTAATTTGCATAAATTCCATGAGTAAAGTAAAACAACGTGAATGAGGTTAAAGAGTTATTGAAAATTAAAGCAAATGTATTGAAGCAGTACATTTGCTTTTGTCTACGAACAAAGAACATTCCGCAGTTTCGCTGTATTCATATTCCTTAGTTTTATTTCCACTTAACGCAAAAAGTACCCTATATTCATCAAGATGCATTCCATAGTTTACCAAATTTACTTTTTTTTACTACCCAATTTGTTAATAACTGTGCTGTTTGTAGAAACTGTGGATTAATTTGTCTGAAAATATTGATGAGAAACACGAAGTATGCATGCATAAGATGACGATTTTAATTTCATACAAAATATTGGTAAATTTTTCCGAGAATATATGATAGTTTGCAGTTGTGCATAAACTGACACGGTAATGTAATTTGCATTTTATTTGATAATTTTGCATTCTTTTGATAGAATTATGAATCATGGTATGACATAAATGAAACACGTACTTTATGATGCAGTGTCTAATCGGCACATATGGCTGTAGACTTTTTGAAATAAAAACGAAAAGGAAATAAAGAGCAATTTGTCCCACCAAATAATTATATTACTCTAAAGAGTTGACTATGATAAAACGTTTTGATTAGGCTTTCTCACCAAATTCTTTGCCTAAAATCGTTAAATTACCAGATGCAATCAGTATACCATAATATATAATTTTATCAAGAGACTCTGAAAGTTGATTTAAAGAAGCTCTTATAGAGGATTTATCTTTTTTTTAAAAAAAATATTCATAACGAAAAAAAAATCATGGAGATAGCTTCCATATTCCCTTCCGCGTATACCATACAAACCATACAAATATACAACCTGAGTTCTTTATTATTTTATGAAAACAATGGTATTAAATGAAAAAAATAAGTTATTCGGTATTTAATTAACAATTTGCGACTCCTATTGTTAAGACGCTTTTTAATTTATTAAACCCAAAAATTCTATTTCATTTAAAATGGTTTATTAAAATTAGTTTATTGTTACTTAATCTCAAAGATTGTTTGATTGGTTCGAAACTAGATTGAACTGGTTTGATTTGTTTAAAATGCAAACAACAATTAAATACAACTGAAGCAATTAAGAAAATTAAGATTGAGCAAAATGATTGCAAGGTATCATATGATACATGCAAATAATATGATACTATTTTCAAAGTTTTTTCCCCTTGCAACTAGGATTAAAATCAATAAATGTCAGGCAGAATTCAGGCTGTCTACTTTCATTTATACTGCGCGTCGTACTGCTTTCTGTGTGGCCATTTGTCTTTCGACTCTTTATGAAGACACTTCTCAGGTGGTTTACAACGCGAAGAAACTTTTTCTTCAAAAATGTCGCTGAGGGAGACATCGCTTAAGAGAAGAGAGTTGATAAATAAATTTTAATGTAGTTGCTTTTGTAATATAGAAGCAGGGGGGGAAGTGTAATAAAAGATTCCGTTGCTAAACAGGTTTTTGTAGCTGAAAATTTGGTTTTATTTGCTTATTCATGAACTAATCAGTGTGAAAGCTTCTGTAAAATTTTTAATGTCCCATGAAGCTTCAAAGATAAAACTTTAGAACCTTTGATGCAATGACAACATTATGTTATTATCATACTCTTTGTGAATCAATTTGTTTTGTGTGCAATATAAAAAAGAAAAATAACTTGCACTTTCTAGTTGCTCTGTGCCCCAAAAATTACTAAAAATATCAATTTAAGTAAAACGCGAGGTGACAGAGATGCATAGTTTGATGCCATCGACTCAACAATTCAAGCCTACTTAGTTTAAAAAATAGCTACAAAGCTTATTAAAATTTGGCTTTGCTGACTGAGAAAATATGTATATAAAATATTTTTTTTCAACAAAACCATGATTTTCAGACACAAAATAGCTCAATACAATATTCACCAATATTCAGTTTTCATACAATATTCACCACTTTCTGTGTAATATTTTATTTGGTATTGACTGGCGCCATCTCTCGACGAGCTTTGTAACTAACTATTATAACTTTTCTAAATACAAACCAACTAATATTTAACATAACTCAGCCAATAGTACATTTGTATTTCTTTCTATTTTTCTTAATTAAATTCTTGGAACATTATGAGATAAAAAATAATGAAAAGATAAGGAAAAGAAAGGGATGAAAATGAATGCGCGTGAACTAGCATAGTTAAATTTAATATTGTTTCAGACTTACATGCACTGTAAGAAAATTGATACTCAAATTTCGCGACACGTTTTTTTTGTTTTCGAAGAAACTGTTTCCTTGTATATGTGTCGAGCGAACATTTCGTCAAAGTGACGAAATAGACGCTATGTCTCTGAGGAAATGAATTTTGTCAATACTCAAGAAATTGTTCGTCATTCTATTTTTTTCGAAAAAAAATTACTCGTAGTGCTTAACTTTCTAAAAATCACTTTATCGTAGGCGACATATAGCAGAATCAATGTCACCTATCATCACAACAAACGAAATACAGATTGAACAAAGACATAAATTGTACCCCTCATCGAAGTGGGATGTGATACCGGGATCTTTGTAGTGCTCTCCTTGACCACCATACGTGCCGGTCACCCAAATTGGTCATTTTATTTTCAGTTATCTAGTCTTCATCCTAGTATCGTCATTCTAGTTAAAAATCTTCCACAATGCACTAGCATGAGGTCCGAGTTGAGGAAATATTTTCGTCATATGCTAGAAAGCTCCTATTTCGTCACAAATTACGATTTTGCGGCGAAATAATACTCAAAACTTGTGAAATATATCTCAAGGATTTCTGAATCGTCCAAAATAGGAGTTTTATTTCTAAGAGTGTGGTTTATCTGCTAATCTTTAATAAACCTCTTTGGTATTTTGAGATAAAGATTGCTGCTGCATAAAAATCAACCCTTCAATGATATCTGGGATTAAATGGCTCATAACTCAGAAGAAACAGAAGTAATAAAAAATGTTGGTAAAATATATTATGTTGCTATTTTCTTAAATGAAAAAAAATCAACAAAGTAATGATAAAATAAATTTAAGTTCTAAACCAGTTTCTTCTTCCAACATCATCCAGCATCTGTTCTCTATATCAAATTTGAAAAGAAAACAACCATTTTTTTTAGAGTTTCTATCTATAATAATTTACACTTTTATTTTTACTAGGAATCTATTCCCAGGATGTTATGGAATGAGCTAAAGTCAACGTTAACTTGCAGAGGATCTTCTAGGCCGGCACCTAAAGACGCGGAAGACGAACCATCAGTTGAGAAAATGCCAATGGTCAACATGAGCAAAATTGAGGATTACAAATTCTCATGACCTTCTCTGCTCTTTATAGATGTACTTAAAATTTTCAATCTGGAGGGAACTTACAGTCATCTTGTACTCGTCTATTTGAGTTACTAATATTAAATTGCATTGCATCTGTTAATAGATATTTAAGCATAAAGGTTTTAAAAACTTTTAAAGAAAGTTAAAAATTTTTAAAATACTCAAAACAACCAAAAAGTATAATATCAATCAAACAATTACTTCACACGTCATTCAAATGAATTGGATTTAAGAATAAGTTTCTTCATCGTATAATAATGAATCATGTTAATAAGGTTGATATAAATTAGCGGTTAGCTAAAAATATTTATTAAATCTCCGTCCTGAAACTGTTAAAAATATCTTTGTTAATGGTTTCTTGTAAATTACTATCTAATGCAACACAAGTTGTTTAAGAAAAACTAGAGATGCTTGCTTATACGCATGAGTATTACTATTTCATTTTTAACATTACTAAGCAAGCATTAACAAATTATACACATTTATTGTTTTTTTTTTGTATTTATTACTCATGAAGATTATTTTGATTGATTAGAAGCACAACTTTCTTTATCAGTAACTGAAAAATAATATGCATTCTGAAAAAGCAATGAGAGCTATAAGAACCTTCCAGAGGAAGAAAAAAAAGTGTAATTGTTTGTCAATGTGCCTACAACTGCAAAAAATGCAGTAATTTTTATCCCTTAAGCGAATTCTGTGTACCCATCCCGGTGTTTGTATTTAACATAACAAAAAATCACTAAAAAGAGCTTTAATTCTCACCGACGTCTTTAAAAAGATACTGGTAGCTATATATATTTTATTACTTGATAATACTGAACAAAACTGTAGAGTTTGTATGTAATAAAGTTATATTTGTGGAATTTCTGTGTGTTACTTTCTTTATTTAAATTATAATTTAAATATTCATCAAAAAATATAGAACATAAAGGGGACATGTATTTTAAAAGTATAACTATTTAAACACTGAGAAATAAGTATGGTCAAATTTACAAATTTACCAATCTATAGTGAATTCTACCGTGTTTTTGGTTCTGTGAGAACACAAAAAGCTAGGTAATTTTACGGAAGAGCTTTGGTAAAGATTTTGGTAAAATTAACAATGAAATATGGCGTTATATTTTATGATAAAGTTTGGTAATTGTGGTAAAATTTGTTAATTTTATCATGATACCTTAGGGGATGGAATGAAAACCATTTATTTGGTTGAAATAGTTTCTTGGTTTAGTATTTTTTTACCTAATGTGTGGTAATAAGAGGTATAATTTTTAAAACCGGAATTTTTGTTAAACCGTTACCATATGAACGAAAGCATATTTTTGTTTTATTAACCAAAACTATGTTGCTCTTTTTATACCGTAAATGTCACTAACATACATCATTAGAATTTTACTAGAATTTTTTTCGCCTTGAAAAATTAAAACTAACATTAAAATTAAAACAATACATTGAAGTTTATATAATAAGTATTAAATGAGCTTTTGATATTTTTTATTCACCTAAATAGTCAACTCTAAAGTAAGCTAATAATGATTCATAACTCTCATTTTAAAACTTTTTTTAAAATTTATTAAATAGCTGTAGTGCAAATATGTAAAAATGAGCACGGATATTTTGCCGGAAACTCAATGAATGATTGACACAAGGATATGAAACGGATTATGTTTAAAGTAAAATTTGTAGAGAAAAAGAATAATGAGATAATGCAAATTTAATGACTTCCGGTTGCTGTCTTGTCATTCTATAAATGAAAACTAAGTATTTAATATCGAAAGTCTTTAAAGATTTATAAGAAATTTTCCAATTCCTTACTTCCTAACACGCCACTAAGCTTATTTCAGCTATCCACTTTATTTTTCTTTTATACTTCTCTACTTTTTTACAACATCACTGGTTTCACAAGCCGGGAAGTCATCGATCACGATCCTAATCTTGCGGCAAAAAATTTCCGGATCTTTTCGATATGATCCGTGACATTTTTGATCAATCACAAACTTTAGAGCTCTACTCTAATAGTCGCTTTACAAAGAAAGAGCCCTTCGGCGTAGTTTGTCATTTAGATACCGGAAAGGACTTTACGCAAAGTGTTATAGCCCCGAAATTTTATCGGAATTATTTTATGGCAAGATTAGATCAACACGCTGACTTTATGAGGCACTTGTAAAACATCCAAATTTCTTTTACCGTAATTTGAGGAATACATTAAGTTAGACTGTTCCTTATTGTTTATTTTAAGAGGTTTAAATTAACATCGTTGTGGTGCAGCATTTTTAAGTGAAATTTTTTAAGACTGTAGTGTATTTTTATTAAATTTTGATAAGATTAAAAATGATTAAAACAGCAAAATTCCTTTCACCGCAATTTTGTTTGATGAATACATTTGCAAAATAAAAACGTCTCCTCATCTTTTTAAAGTTCAGGAAAATGAAAATAATATTATATTGTTTTTAAGCTAAATATTTTAAAATCGCAGTGAGTTTTTTTTAAATAAACATTTGAAAGTAGTGCATTAAAATGTATGATATTATGTTCAGTTAGAGTAAATTTTAAATAGTAAACGCTTAACTATTTATAATTTAATGTGTTTTTTGCACATTAATTTAATGAGAATTCAAACAAGGTTTAAATGTTTACAGTTCCGATATGATCCATGATATTTTTAATCAGACTTTAGAGCTCTCCTCTAATAGTCGCTTTACAAGGAAAAAGCTATTGGGTGCAGTTTGTCGTTTAGATACCGGAAAGGACTTAACGCAAAGTTTAACCCTAAATTTTTTCCGAATTATTATACGGCAAGATTAGATCAACATGCTGACTTTATGAGACACTTGTAAAACATCCAAATTACCGCAACTGTGTATGAGGAATAGTAAGTAAGTAAGATTGTTTATTTTAAGAGAATTAAATTAATATTGTTGTGAGGCATCATTTTTACGCAAATTTCTTTTAAAACTGCGGTGGGTTTTTATTAAATTTTACATGTACGGGAGTAAAAACGAATAAAAGATCGGCATTTCTTTCTTGTTTTCATATTTTAAGATAATTAAATTAATATTGCAATGCTTTTAAGTGAAATATTTAAAAACTGCAACGGATTTTTTTAAAATAAACTTTGAGAGCAACGCATTAAGAAATGACTAATTATATTATGCTTAGTTGAAGTAATATTTAGACAGCATTTGTTTAACTATTTTTAACTTAATGTTTGCCTTATGCCGATATTAATGAGGAGCCAAATGAGGTTAAGATGCTTGAATACAAAATTTCCAGCTTCAACTTCATAATATTTACTAAAGCTTGCACGCAGAAACAAAATCTGGTAAAATTACTGTACTTTATGGCAAAGACATTTCTGTTCCAAAATCCATAGTTCTGGTTAATAAAGCTTAGATATTTAGTGTTTAAGCCAATCATTTCGTAGATTTTTCATTCATAAGTTAACGGTTTACTGGAATTTCTGGCTTAAAAATTAAAGTACTTATTATTCCGTTTAGTAAAAAGTATAAAATTGAAAAGTAAATTCAACCGAATTAAGGGTTTTTATGCCATGTTCCAAGATATTTTGGTAAAATTACCATTTCTTACTTTTTTTACCCCATTTTATCACACATTATAAAAATTATATTTTATTGTTAACTTTTCCAAAAACATTGCCAAGACGCAATGTAGGAAAGTGAAATTTGAGGAGAGGGTTTTGATAAAAATTACAAAATATTTGGTCAAATTTACCATATTTTGGTAGTTTTGACCATATTGTTTTCTTAGTGTATAAAAAAATTATTTACTATGATAAGCAGAAATAAATATATATTTGCTAAGAAAACCACTGTTTCTTGTACCAGAAAAAATACTTGAAGAAATTAAAAGAATAAAATTATTACATATAAAACCATAGAAAAACAAGAAAGAACAAGCCCATTTTGTGGTTCAGGAGGTAGAGAGCTCGCTTTCCTGTTAGGTACCCCAAGTTCAAATCCCAACAATGGCTGGTCCATACTTGGAGCGACCAACTTGGAAAGACGTAGGGAAAAAATAATTGACAACTTTAAATAACAACTAACATATAAAATATGCTGAAAATTAGTTATTATACCTAAGTAGGTGGTTCAACTGAACTTGAATTTAAGAACTAACATTCTTCTTCAAATTGTTGCGGATATGAAAAATACGTTTTTAACATTTTTATCTCTGAATTTTATTTATGAACATATTCAGTTGAAATAGGCGCAGCAAGGATTAAATAACGATAACTTAGACGTGCACATAAAAAACTCATATATGGAAGAATTCGCTATTTAAAAAAATCATCAAGTTTAAGATAGTGTTTATATTCAACTGTAATGATTCATGTTACAGTTTCAAATTAGTGTCAATATTTAACTCAAATATGGAGTTATCAAACTGATAAATCGATCCTCAACTTTTTAATAAAATGTAAGAGAGATGGAAAATTCATAAGTGTTTGGTAGTTATTAAACTGCTAAATCGATTAATTTTGAGAAAAAAGTAGCAGATATTAAAAATTTGCAAGTGTGGTAGAGTTGTCGAACTGTTAAATCGGTGCTCAACTGTTTTGTGTAAAAGTACCAATTATGTAAAATTTGCAAGTATAGTGGAGTTATCAAACTGCTAAATCTATGTTCAATTACTTTAAGAAAATGTACCAAATATCGAAAATTTTCAACTGTAGTGGAGTTATCCAACTGCTAAATCTATGATTTTGAGAAAAAATACCAGACATGCAAAATTTGCAAGTGTAGAGGAGTTATCAAACTGCTAAATCGATGAGTTAGGGAGAAAAGTACCAGATATGTAAAATTTACGAGTGTACTGGAGTTATGAGCAGCGTGCGATATGAATGATGTCCCGGGGTATTGGTCCTCGTCAGACTATTTGACTGTAGAGTGCTCGAATTAACACACAGTTCGTTTGGCCACCAAAACGAGTGAGCCATTTGCAGATGATCAAAATTATGAAGAAGTGTTTTCGGGACTAATAGGTGAATCGTGCTCGAATCCGAGCGATGGTTGGTCCATACGAATTCCACACCCAGCTCGCACCGATTACAGTGCTGACGTAAAAAAGCTTCAAAAGTAGATGGATCATGGGTTATAGTCCCCTTGTCATCAGGTTAACCATGGAAGGTTTTCGTGGTTTTCTTCTTCATGTAGTGCAAATGCGGGTTAGTTCCACCAAGAAGTCCTCCAAGAAGGCAAATTTCTTCCAATACTTGATCTAGGTTGTTGTAAACTCAAAAATGAGTCTGCTGTCCACCGACGGTTAGAACAAATACTACTACTTCTATTTTATTCAGTAAATGATTGTTTATTTTGTTTTTCGTCTGTTAGTGGTTTTATTTAAGTACTACAGATTTGTTGCGTTTTTTTCACAAAAATAAAAATAAATTCTTAACATAAAATGAAATTATTTTATTTTCGAATCTAAACTTTTTTTTTGATAATAAATGACGCATTATTTTTGTTAAATGTAAAACTAAATAAATGCATTAATGATTTAGATCTAATTTAAGTTAAATGAGTAACGATAATTAATTTATTAACTATTTAATTAGGAACAATACAATTGTCAGCAATTTGCTAAAAAATGACAAACACTTTGAAGTTAGCCATTTTATTATTCTAATTTCAATACGCTCTTCAATACCCCAAATGCGCAATTGAAATTAGAAGCCAGAAGTTTCCATTATTGCAAACAGCTTATTTTGATTATTAAACTGCATTTTGTAATTCCATATAATTCCAATCCACTTATAATTTTGTGTTTAACAATAAATTTGAATTTTTTACCTCAAGTATATTAATATGATAAAATGGACAAAGTTAGAGTTTTAAATTTGCGGATC